GAACCTGAGGTTGGGATACAGGCGCTTTAAAGACATCAGTAAGAGTTGCTCGCGAGACTTGTAGGTCAGCCACCTCTAAAACCATATGAATTTCAAGGATGATGGGCTCTTCGAAAGTAGTGGTTGGTGAATGATGGAATTCTTGTGCTCAAGAAGGTTGGAAAGGATAAAAGTTATTAAGTACTAAGAAGAATGTTGCCCAGTATAAAGATATTAGAAGGGGCACTTACCGAATTGATGTTGTCCTCCACATAATGCGTCACATTCCCAGTGGAAAGATCAAAATGAGAAATTGGAGTCACCTCCAAGGGAATAGATTTTGCTTAAGAATAAGGAGTTTGCTTTGACTGGGGTAAGGAAGAAGAAGCTTCAGGCGGTGATATCTTTTCTGCCCGAATCTCCTATAGTAAGCGGCCAGGCACAGAGAGTTATTAAGGACAAGTACTTAGAAAGAAAGAAAAAAAGAATACTTAAATAGCAGCATATCGTACCTCCAGCTCTTTATGAGATAATTCTTGAAATGCATTAGTCTGTTGATACATCTTAGCCCCTAACGGATCCCCCCTTGAAACAATAGTAGGTTTCTTGGATGCATAACATCCTAAGAGGCAAGAAGAATTGAATTGGTAAACCCTCAAACGCAAGATACAGGTGGAAGAATGAGGTAAGAATCACCTATTGAAGGCTTTCTGTTTCCGCCTGCCCGCCACAGGAACCGCGATGGTGGAAGGGTTTGAGGCAGAAGCAGCTTTTAAAGACTTAGAAGTTTGAGCTCTTGTACTTTTCCTGGTTGAGGTTGCCTGCTTGGGTTTAGGCTTTTTTCAGGCTCAGAATAAGAGGTTTCCACCAAAACTGTTTGTGTCCGCTTAGGTGCTCGGATATTGACTTCAGGCTCTCATTTAGCCTCTTAATCTCCCAATAACTTGGAAATATCCCCACCTTCTCCAGCCTCTCGCCTTTTAGCCTCAGCTGCAGCCTCCTGAATGATTAGTGCATCGGTGGATTCTTCCTCTGACCCAATGTCCGCCGCTTCAGTAGTCCCTTGGGCTGCAAGTGTTAAAAAGAAGGAAAGAATAAGCAGGCTCATAAAATTTTCATAGAATGTGAATTGAAAAAACAGAAAAGTACCTATCAGAAGAAGCTAGTTCTTTTGATAGACCATTTCCTTCCAATTCTCAAGCTCGCCCGAGCTAGGATAAGATTTGAGAGAAAGTTGGTTAAAAAAACGGTCGTGAGCCTCCCGTAAGTCCCCTCTGTACTTTTTGATCCATTAAGCCTCCCACCAAGTGAAGAAAGTACAGGTACATTCAAAATTAAGGGCCAACGGCCTTCGGGCAACTTTGCTTATAACTTCAAGGCTACATCGGGCAGCTTGAAAGATATCTTCGTGAGGGGAGGGAAGGTGATAAAAAGTACCACAATGGATAGAATCAAAAAATGGTATTGGAATGACCTGCCTGAAGCCTAGCTGCATGCTGCAAAAGTTTGGATGATAAACTTCCAACCCACGTTCATAGTGAACATTAAGGACTCCCCAAGCTATGCTCCTTAATTGAATACAACTGATAAATCTCTCCTTGCAAGAAGGGTTGGCATCTTCCCCAAATGCATCTTAAAAAGCTTGATCAGAGAACCAATGATACTTCCTAAAGACGGATACCTCACATTCTAAGTCTGCCCGAGTCCTACAGACCATGAAGAAATAGAAGCAGGCAAATGTGGAATGATCAGTGGGAGGAGCTTCGGCCAGAATTCGAGCAAAGGCCACTCCTTCCTGGAACTCCAAGTTAGCTACCCGAAATTCTGGAAAATACCATTGTAGCCATAATTGAACCATCCAGATTAGTCTATTAAGGTTGGTCTTGAATGGTTCACCCCGAGTCATCTCGAAAATGAGATGGTAAAGATGGGAAAGGAAGAACAGGCACGTGGCAACATCATCAAAATTATGAAGAGCTTCTACTAAAAGGATCCATTCAACCTTCACTCCCTTGGATTTGTTGGGGAAGACATGCTTGTTAAGCCAGTATAGAAGGAAGTAATGTGTTTTTTAGCTAAGTTTGCATTAGGAGAACCAGTGCCAACGTTCTTCTTCACAAAGGGGATGAAACCTTTGAAAGAAGTCTCATAGCTTTTGAAAGTTGCAGATTTATATTCCAATTGGATTGGGGAGGCCGAAGAACCCGAACTCTCAGCAGTCGGATGTGAAGGAAGAGCTTAGTCATGAGTAACATCCATGATTTTGCCCGAAAGTCTAAGCCCAAAGACTTTGCCATATCTAGAATCGTTGGGGACAAAGGGCCCATCCTGAAATCGAAGGTATTTGTACCCGAATTCCAGAAAAGAAGAACAGTGGTGAGTAACTCGGGTTTGGCGACTATGGTACTCTTCGAAAGCATTATCAACTCATAGATGCCATTGTTCATCCACTTCCATTTAAAATTTGGCTCGAGATCATTTATCCACTGAACCTATGCCGGGTCGTTCATCAGAGGAAAACCACAACGATATTACGACCACTTAAATGAAGAAATGCTTGACTCGGCTGTGAATGGGTTAGAGGCGAACCAATTGTCCCTAGGCATGTGGGTCTCTACTACATTTGGAACCCGAGAAGTCCATGCAGGACTCAAGGAATGCGCCCTATTTTCTTCAAAAATAAGTTCAGTACTCAGGCCTGCCCGAGGACAATGGAGGCCGTTAAGTAAGCGACGCATAACAACGATACCTTCGCCAAATTCGTATGAGGGTTGAATTTGAATGGTCTCTGAGGCCATTAGTCAGATTTAAAAGATGAATATAGAAAAGACGATGAAATAGGAAAATCTGGGAAAATTGAGGAGCCCGAATATCTGGAAAATACGAATACTTGGAAAGATTAAGATATTTAACCAAAAGGTTTGAAAGAAGAGAATTATATGAGGGAACAATTAATTAACGATTAAAATTCATGGGTTAGTGCAAAAGATCCAGTGCATAAACGGCTGCATTAAAGATGGCACAGGTTCCGAGTAAAGACGTGCAAATGTGGTTACTGAAGAAGCATCTGTTCAATCATTATTTACGCCTCGATCTGCAGGCTTAACAACAATTGAAGAGGGCACTGTTTGGGTTAAGATTTAAACCTTGGGCTCTCAGGAAGGAAAGCCCAAGAGAGTTCAATAAAGAAGGTTTTTGCCCGAAGCCCAGAATCAAGCCCATTTCATCCATTTCAAGATATTAAGGCAGCTCCCCATTAATGCACAGGCCAGTTACTTACAAAAAGTGACAACCGATGTAAGATCACCAACTCTTGGCCCAAAAGTTCTTTTGGATGGCAAACATGTAAAAAGGCTGGTGAATCACTACCCTTTAGTTGCTTTCGGGTAAGAACAAAAATAACACAGCTGGGCTAATTCGTCTATAAAATGAGGAAGAGGTTCCAGAGACAATGACACTCAACCAATCAAACAAAAAAACATACAACTTGTCTCTTAGCCAAGCAAATACCCAGAAATCCATGCTTTGTCCAGACTCTGCACCCTTTTAGCCTTAAACTCCCTTAGAAAGACATCTTTTATCTATGCTACCTTTTCCCTAAATGTTGTAGTATCGATTGCTCATGTGTAAACTTATTTCCACTCATCCCCTTTAATACTTAATCATTTTTGTAAACTGCCAAGGGAAGAGACCGTAAGACGTTTTAACCTTGCCCGACAAGGTGAAATCTTGTCCGACTCTCTTTGTTTTTGCCTTTTCATTAATAGATTTGGTATTATAATGTATCCCTCAGTAGATATGCAAGTCATTTTTTATCTCTTAATGATCCGAAGTTCCATTAACTCTCAGATCTGGTTTACTTGGTACTTTTACTATCGTGAAAGTAAATGAAGCTGATGTTCTAATTAGATCTGGACCTCCACCCTTTGAAGCATATAAGATAAACAAAAGTCCTTGATCTCAAGGAATAGAAAAGAACTTAATGTGGACTTAACCCATCCATGACAATCCTTTGATAATGAGAAGTTAAAATAACTTAGGGCATAAGTAATCGGCTTAAATACACTCATTCTACATCTGCCATATAGAGATGGCAATGGCACGCCTCATCACTTGGTTAGTTTGATTGCAAGCCTCACGGCCTACACTTAAGGCCCGACAAAGGCACCTTTCAGAACTAACTTTGTCCTCTTCTTGCAGCCCGACAAGCAAGCAAGAGCCCGACAGCCAACCAAAGTGCCAACTCCTCGGGGAGCTGTGTGCTCGAGCCATTGACCCTTCCTAGTGAAATTCCTGCCTGAACAAGAACAAATTTGGGTTAGGTTGCAGGTGGCGGATCAGGAGTAATGCAATTGTAGGGTTTAATCGTTTTTGGGAATCCAAGAGCCTAGAAAGCCCAAAGTCCCCGACTTTAATCCACATATCTTTCTCAAAAAAGATGTTCAATGACCTGAATAAACTTGTTTCTCACCGTACTTCTCGAAGTATGGCTTGTTTATAGCGGATAGTGGCTTTGTAAATAAGATAGGATGAGTGCTTAGTCAAATTTAGCACCACGAAATCGAAGTTCAGCCTCACCACACTCAAATCCAATTCGACTTATCATGGAGAATCACCATTACATCGGCAACATATTCCGGCAATGAGACACTTAGGCATGAACTCTCTTCATATGGCCATGTTGATAACAACCAAGTGATGGACATATTCAATGATGCTTTTCGTAATGCTTCGAAAAATATGGATGAAGAGCTATCCACACACCCTGATAAGTACGATAAATTGTTGATGGAAGCTCAGTGAGAATTGTACCCTTGTTGTCAAGGTTTTTTCCATCCTAACCGTCGTTGTCGAGTTGATGCACATGAAAGTAGAGTGTAATATGACCAATCAAAACTACGATATGATGATGGGAATGGTTAAACGTATGTTTCCGAAACCAAATGTGATTGCTTGTAAATCATTCTAGCTCGAAGAAGATGCTGAAAGATTTCGGGTTGGGATATGACAAGATCCATGCATGCAAAACCAATTATTTATTCTTTTGCGGTGAATTCGAGAAGTGATCCCTGTTTTTGGTACCCAAAAATCCCAGACAAGTTCCTCTCTTTCGATCAACCCATCTTAAACCTGAATACAACAATTCGTCCTACCCAATAGTCTAAAAGTAAACTTACCAACAGGAAACAAATATATGTCGGCCGGTCCACCTGCATACGGGTTTAGTAGAAGGGCTACACAAGCAGAGATAGAGAAACCTGCAATGTCGTACATCATTAGAAACATATAAAGACTATACCATCAAACTTTTGACATGAACTGCAAATAACCTCCATAACGCAAATAGTTCTACAACTGGAAATGCCATGAATTTGATTATGCAGTTTAGAAAGGAGTAAATACACAAGTTCCAGTGTTACAAAAAACAACCATAAATTAAGGGACTACAAATCTCTCGCAATTAAAGACTCTAAAAAAATCGCATGTGGTCTTCAAATGTCTTTGCATGCCAGACCTTGGCCATAGACCCATCTTCTTGAACGTGAAAACATTGTAAAAACTCTTACAAAATAAGTTTCTGGAAACGAGCATTGATATTCGTGTTGAGGCGTAAAGATTGTTTTTTGTAGGAATTCCATACCCAATATTCTGAAGGATGCATTTTAAGATTGTAAGTTGAAGCCATACTCATGCAGTAAGTGCCTGCGTCATGAACAACCAGACCAACTCCCTGAAATGGGTAACTCTAGGTCAGCAATCAAGCACTAAAAAGTCCTTAAAGGACACCTTCAGAACATAATAACTGCGAAGATCATCGTCATTTGATCTCCTAGTCATAGGATACATCAAATGATTATGGCTTTGACCCTCCATCAAATGATTATAGTTCATTATTAATTATTAAGCAGCTACCAACGATATTTTGATTATTTATTGAGCATCTACCAATAATATCTTGCTTGCAATTCTAGCAGCGGGAACAATGTTTTCCAAGTCGAATTCCTTATCGATATTGATAAGAACACCTTCTTGGGCAGCCAAAACCATGTCCTCTAATAATTTTCCATTCCCATTAAAACTGTACTTGCCCTTACACAAACAATTGTACAAGCATGAATTTAAATATTCACTCACAATTCACACCTTCTTGGATCGGGTCACATAAAATTTACCTAGTAGGTAGTTCATAGAACTAAAATTTGATGGTAACTTTCAGCAGATAAAAAACGTTTGAGTTTCATTCTAATTTTTTTATAATTTTAACCAAAATTTGACGTAAAAATACTACAATATCCTTCTTAACTAAAATAATTTATAAAACTATATCTTCTCCAAACCTTTTGAGTAGAAAAGGGAGTGGTTAAACCTAAACAGGTTAATTATATCATAATTGGTATAATGGTTAGAATAACCCTAGTTGAATAATAATTCAAATAAACCCTAATCACATTCACAGCATATATTGATGGCAACGATGAAAATTAAACACTGTAATAAGAATAGAAACATATGAAACAAGGAAGAAGAAGGTGGGTAGAGTGGGGGACCTGGTGAAGCTGATGTTTGTAAGGTTGGAGACTGAAGGCCAGCTTTGTATGTTGAGCTCTTCTCCTTCCTCTCCTTCCATTTTTTATTGTATTTTTCCAATTTTCAGAGATAAAATATATTGGTTGTTTTTTAGAGATTTTTACAGAAGCAGAGAGTGAAGTGAAGTGAAGAGAAGAGAAGAGAAAAAGGAACCTGAAAACACAAGAAGGCAAGAATCGGAAGAAGATTAGGAATCGCATATGTTGTCCAAAACTTGACTGCACAATGGATGGAGAAGATAAAGTTTTGTAATTATTTGAGTTAAGGAAGGGTATTGCAGTATTTTCCCTTCAAATTTTGGTTAGAATTATGAAAAACTATAATGGTTGGCTAAAATTCTATTTTGGCTAAAATTCTATTTTGGCTCAAATTTTAGCTATTTTTCCAAATTTCCCCTCTTGTTTTGCTTTTAAAAATTTTGTTTTGCTTTTGAAAATTTTGTTCTTGTTAAAAGAAACGGTGAGTTTCATTTAGGCCTATTCGCTAATGTTTTGCAAAACAGATTTTCATTTTGCAGACACAAAAAATGGGTGAAAATACATTTAATAGATTTTTTTTTTTTTTTTTTTTGGAAAATAAACTCAAAGACAACAAAATGCAGAAAAATATTTAGCGTAAATTTTGTAGAACATCAAATTGATGCTTCCTCTATTTTTCAAGAATAGTTTTATTAGTGGAACAGAGTCATTTGGATCTGTTTGATACAGCCCTTTTCTTACAAGTCAAACCGATCTATTTTCAATCATATGTCGTAGAACAATAGAACAATGTAAAAGAATCTCTATGAGGGTGTTTGTTTGACCTTCTTAGATGGAACTGAACTAGACTACACTAAGTGTAGTTTGATGTTTGATATGCACAAAGATTAGGTTTAATGGGATTAGATCGGACTCGCTAGGATTAAACCCCCTGGTAGGAGTTCTTAGCCAAGCACCCCAAAAACCCCCGGACTGATAAGACCTCCTGCACTCCTGTGAGATAGAACCTCGCTCATCCTACGAGAGAGTGTCGTCGGCTCCCTGCTCCCTCATCGTCGTCCTCCTCATCCTCATCTTAGCGTCCTGTTCGCCCTCATCTGCTCCTCTTGTCTAGTAAACTTCGAATCCGACATTATTTCTTCGATTTGTTTTGCAGATCATGATATTACTGGGCTTTATTTGATTTAGGTGTTTTGGGTTTGAGAAATTTTCAATAATAGACTTCTACACTTGAACAAATTAGGGTTTTGATTTTTAGGGTCAAATTGAGATTAGAATTTGGGGTTTTCACATTTTATGCCATTTTCATATTTCTTCGATTTGTAATTGATGTTGTAAAGGGATGTTGCAGTAGCATCGCAACTGAATCTAACCGTTGTTTTTAGCTTGCTGTTGGATCAAACAGTCATCCGGTTGCTGAATCCTGCAGTGTTCTCCCAGAGCATCTATCCCCCAAGTAGTCTTCTTTTGGTTGGGCAGTGTGAACCCAGTTAAGGTCTCGTCACTTGATACTGATGGCTCATGCAATTCCAGCCGTCCATATTTCATAGAACCTGAAAAATGAAGACGAACATGTACACTCCGAGGACCATGTCCCTCTTCACTTCAAAGTCATCGGCCCCAGCTCTTCAATCTTCAATTCTTCACCCAACCATCACAAACTACTTCTTTCACTCCTCAATAACAATGTGACCCCATCACTGGCTTCAGATTGAACATGAGAAGTGAGTTACATTTGTATTATTCATCTTTATGCTAAATTGCTAAATTGTGTTTGTGATGGCATTATGTTTAGTAATAACTGCAGACAGGAAAATGAAAACGGCTAAAGCTACTTTCGATGTCAGTGTTGATGGTGGAATAACCTCCTTTGATACTGCTGAAGTGTACGGCTTCAGGGTGAGAAAAGCGTCTTATAGTTCTTTCTATAAAATTTGTTGCGGTCAAAACAAATTCATCATTATCTACTCTTGCAGGCTTCTTTTGGTGCTGTAACTTCTGAAACTCTACTAGGAAGTTACATTGTAGGAATTTTTGGGGCTGCATCATTCTTGTTTCAAGTCAATAGAGTACAGCTAATTGTCATCGGTTTCTGTATTTTGAGAATATTATTAGACTACTTTGAATTTCTCACAGATTTATCAAGGTAAGGAAACAAAAGGATCCAGGAGTAGAGGTTGATGTCGCAACCAAATTCGCAGCTTTACCTTGGAGGCTGGGCCATCAAAATGACATAGCTGCCCTCAAGGATTCCCTCAATCGCCTGGAACTTTCTTCAGTGGAATTGTGTCAACTCCATTGGTATGTCCCTTATGAGCCTTTGCTTTTTGTATAAATACTTGTTTCTGCTAAGGTAACTGCAAAATCTTATCAAGTGCTTGTGTTATTTTTCAGGCCTGGAATATGGGGAAATGAAGGTTGTTCATAACTTCATATGTAACACCATTTTTTCATTGAATAAATTTGTCCATCTAATATAATTAGGAGGTTACATTATTTACATTTTGTTTCTGAAGAGGTGTATTTGGGAAATCAATTTTCAGGGTATCTCGATGGTCTTAGAGATGCTGTTGAGCAGGGCCTTGTGAAGGCTGTTGGTGTTTCCAACTATAGGGGTATAATTTGATCTTTTATCTCTTTATTGTTGGTTAAAATTAGCAGTTCAAATCATGGAAAAAAATTTCTATCATAGATGCTCCTAAACAGAACATGACGTATAAAGTTCGTTATTTCAGAAAAGCAATTGTGTGAGGCACACGCAAAACTTCAAAAGAGAGGTATCCCACTAGCATCAAATCAAGTGAATTACAGCCTCATATACAGGGCACTAGAGGAGAATGGAGTGAAGTCTACCTGTGATGAACTTGGGATCACTTTGATTGCCTATTCGCCTATTGCTCAAGGTGAAGTTGGAACCTCGTGTTTTCTTACCATATTCTCATCATCACTCGATATATTAGCTTAAGAGATATAATGTCTTCTTATTTTACAGTATTTAAGACCCCTCCGTGCGATCTTAAACATTGCCAAGTTAGGACTTGGGAGAAAGCATACTTGTTCACTTTTCTTAGTCAACCTTTTAATGTGAAATTTCGAATTTTCAAGCATTCCTTGTCAAGCAGTTCTTAACTTCAACTTTATGATCTTATTTATTTTATGTTTCATGATAGTTATGGACTTTAGTTGTGCACATAAAGACTCACCTTTCAGGCTATCACCTTCCAACTATATGCCTAAATGAAACAGTTAAGAAAATAAAATTCTGTAAATCTTGTGCATTCATGTGCCTTATCTTTTCAGCATCTTGCTTGTATTTTTTTTTTTGTTGAATTCAACTACTGATTGGTAGTTGGCAAATGGCGATCTTGCATGGTAAAGCTTTAATGTGAATTCAACTGTCGCTGGATAGTTGGCGAATGGCTGTAATACCTTACAAAAAATTCCAAACATTTGGTTTTCGGGTAAAATATTTAGTTTTAACAAAACAAAGGGGATGTAGTTATTCTAAAACATTAAAAAAAATGTGGATTCTTGATAAAAGATGTCTGTTTGGATCTTATGTTATTACTTGAATCTTTGCACAACCCTGCTTACAACAATTACAGCCTTTAATTTCATATCTTACTAGATTGGTTACCACAGCAGTCAACTTTGTCTGTCTGATCCAGGGGTGAAAGAGATTGAGAAGATTGACATTCTACTATTTATGCAAATGCAGGTGCTCTTACAGGAAAATATACACCTAAAAATCCCCCAACTGGCCCTCGAAGACAGATTTATAGTCCTGAATTTCTTTAAAAGGTAAATCATAGTCAATACTTTGAAAGCCCGCTACACATTAAGTTCCAAATTGTTTTGCTAAAATATTGATGTTATCTGCAGCTCCAATCTCTGCTGAACTGGATCAAGGAAATAGGAGAAAGGTACAGTAAAACAAACACACAAGTTTGTTGATGCTCTTTTAACTTTAACTAGCTTTTATCTTTTCCATATTAGAAACCCTAAAGTTTTCATTTCTGTGGAAGCATGGCTGAAAATATCCCCAAAAGTACAGTATTTTAGTAGTTAATCGATTTTGGACCCTTTACGAGTATGAAACGCTTCATAGATACAGTTGCAACTTCCAGTTCATGCTGAAAGAAACTCTTTGTTTCACCGTCTTTTATACATGTAGTCCAACTCTTGGTAGTTTCATGTTTTCCGTATAAGATCATTAAGCTACATATTGATATATCAAGCAAGAATTCTGAAATGCAGAAATAGTTGTTGGGGTATTACAATGTGTAAATATAGTTTGTTCTCTTTGCTGGGTTTTAATGCGAGTCAGGTTACTGTTAACAGGTAGTCCTAAACTGGTTGATAGCCCAGGACAACGTTGTGCCAATCCCTGGAGCCAAAAATGCAAAACAGGCTACAGAATTTGCAGGTGTACTTGGATGGCGGCTCAACAGTGAAGTAGCCGAATTGCACGCTTTGGCTACAGAGATAAAACATGTTACTGGTTTCCCTGTTGAAAAATTATAAATTCTTACACGTGCACCGGGGCTGTAAATTCTTCTATACAAAAATATGTACACACTTCACATCTAATGCAAATTTGACTATCTAATTTAAGAGTGATTGCAGGCTGACCATTGATGTAGCAATTTCAAATCTATAGCCATACTATAACTAGTAAGTTCAGTCACACACTGCCATTGTGGTCTTAGAACAAGTTTATAAGTGTTTCTTCAGATGGAAACGATCTAGTCAAAGAACTAACATTAAACTAGTGATAATACTGTTTTCATTATTCTGCTTCTTAGTCTGATACTGCACCAAACGCTTCATTAAGCTATTTCAGCTTAGTTCCTAAAGCTAGTCCAGTTCGAGACAGTCTGGTGCAAAAAACGCACCCTATATGATTTCATTACGAAAGAATTACATTTGATCTAACGAAGTCGTCAATGCATAACAATCATTGTTAAACTTTTCTTAAATAGATACGGAATTATAAATCATGGGTTTCATTGTGGACTACTAATAAAATGACAAGTGCTAAGACAACCCTTCAACGGTACGGGTCAGGTTACAAGCACATAAGAATTATGAACTTGATTTTGAACTCGTTTTTACATAAATCGGTTCCAACTCAAACAATTTTGAAAACTAAAGATAAGAACTTGATGGCTTTACATCCAGTCTAAATTCACGAGTCCAAAAATCTGTATGTTCACCCCTACCTCCTACTT